CTGTCAGGGGCTGGAAGGGGCTGCCCAGGGAAGGGGTCGAGTCCCCATCCCGGGGGGGATTTAACAGCCGGGCAGGGGTGGTGCTGAGGGCCAGGGTTTGGGGGTGGGATGGCAGGGTTAGGAGAACGGCTGGGCTGGGGGATCTGAAAGGGCTTTTCCAACCCAAACGATTTTGTGATTCTATGAGTGCTTCACCCCGCTGTCAAGGGGAAGAGCCCTTCTCATTCCTGCCCTCACAGGAGGTCCCTTCCAGAGCTGCTGCTTCTCAGGCCTTGCTGCAGTGAGGCTGCACCCGGGTTGGGAAGACTCCTCCAGATAACACGACCTGTCATGCCCTTCTCCTATTGCAGCCTTTGTCCTCACCGAAACAGCCAGGACGGGGGCCCACCGCATCACCACACAGTGCATCTGGGCTCCACGCAGGCCCCCTGCATCCACTGCAGCAAGAGGAAGAGGCACCCACTGCATCGGCAAGGACGGTCCAAGGATGGCAAGGGCAGGATGCATCCTGGAGAGACCACTGTCTTCTCCGTGGGCAGGTACTTAAATGAGCTTTGCCGTCTGCTCTGACGGACCAAGCATTGCGGAGAGTCTTCTCCACTCCCCTGTTCCCTCCCTGCTTTCCTGCTTGCCCCACACCGGGCACCCTCTTGCTCTGCCCCATTTCAATGCCCCAGTAGTAGCTCTGCAGCTGGGAGTCCTGAGGACCCGGGTGCCTCCTGCACCTGGAAATGCCTGTGGTATGTGGCAGGCCATGACGCACCGGTGGCTTCCCTCCTCCTTCTCCGGGAAGGTGACTCAAGCCTGGCTTGTCCTGCTGACTCAGGGCTGGGCAGAGCCCCAAATCTACCTCCTTTCAAAGCCTGCTGGCCCATCGATGTGCGAGCAGGGCTCTTGCTGCCCAACAGGGACAGTGACCCCACTTTTAGGAATCTCATTAGGAGGGGACAGCAGGTCCCGGGTGCAAGTTACCAGCCACAACCTTCAGGATGAAAGAGTGGCTGTGCCCCTCCAGGTCGTTGCCTCCAATGATGACTGTAATTAGGTGCCCTGGGAGGAATATAAGAATAGGGGAGCGTACCCAATGCTTACCACAAATACTCTTCCAGTCCCCATCTGGTCTCACCTCGAGGGACTTCCTGAGCTGCCTGTGGTCTCTCTGCAATCGGTGACCTTCAGTACAATCTGCAGGCTTGCCCAGGGTGCCCCATTCCCCAGCAGAAAGAATGCACAAGACCTTCAGCAAGGTCTCCTGGGGCTCCGCTCTGTACCACCATGGTGACCGGGACAGGGTGACAAGCAACTGCTGGTCCCTAGATGGCCACCCCGACAAGAAACAAAGCTCTGCTGTGCTCAGGTCCCACAGCAGGTCTTCATTCAGGGCCTCAGCCTTGATGAAGCTCCATGTTGTGGTCCAGAGAGATGGTCATTTCACAGTGATGTTAAGCCAGAGTGAGCATTGGGGCGGGGGTGGGGTTTTCCACCATCACAGCCAGGAGCCTCAGCAGGGAGGTGAACTGGGGGCTTTATGGGGAGCTGGTAGAGGGGAGAGATGTGCTGGACCTCCCCATGCTGAGTTCACACCCAGCTAGGATCACACCTTCAGGAGACCAACAGCTTCTGGCTTCCTCTTTGCCCGTTGCTGTCAGCTCTCCTTGGCATAAGGGGTGGTGGTTGGTAAGCCAGACCTCTGCGCAATTGCATATTCGTGGCTAATCTCATTCCCTGGCTGGTGCCCAGCTCCATCCGCTCCTCTGTGCCCTTCATCCGTGCTCTTCTCAGTCTCCTCTCACTCACCTCTGAGTGCTGGAAAAGGTGGTCTTCTTTCCTAAAGGCACTTTCCCTCAAAGCTTGCTTTCCTCTCTTCATATTTAACAGCCCGTGTCGCATCAGCCTTCTCCACGGGCCAGTCGTTGAATTCCTCCAAGGTTATATTTTAAAAGTTTCTGCTTCCCAAATCTCCTTGGCGTGAGGTCCAACTGCTAAGGGGCCTCTGTGCCCATGAGGTACAAAGCTACCTCCAAATTCTGGTTCTTGTTTCCAAGCTGGCCCCTTTGCCCTTTCGGATCCCAGATGACTTTTCTGGCACTGCCCTTCCTGTGTCTTATTTACCATGAATATCCTCATTGCACAGAGTGCCTCGATGCATGACTGATCCCACGTATGAAAGCTCCTTTAACCCAGCTCCGCTGTTGCAATCCTCAGGTCTTGTTCCCCTCCTTTTTTTTTTTTGCTATTGCTTTTGTTCTGGATGCAGTGGTTGAGGGTCCATCCCCCTTCCCCATTACCTACAGCTCATTGACTGAGTCTGGTGCCCAGCTGGAAGGCACCAGCTCGTTGCTAAAGGATAATCCCACCAAGAGATCGCCAAGATCATCAGGGGCTGGAGCATGTGGCACGTAGGGAGCTGCTAAAGGAACAGGGTTTGTTTAGTCTGGAGAAGTCTAAGGGGTGGGGATCTAATTGCTCTCTAAAACTACGCAGGGGTGGGGGGAGTTTAAATGAAGATGGAGCTAGACTCTTCTCAGAAGTGCGCAGGGAAGGGCAAGAGGCAATGGCCACAAGTTGCGACGAGAGAAACTGGGATAAGGCTTAAGGAGAAACTATCACCCTGAGAATGGTGCAGCCCTGGGACAGGACCCAGAGGAACGGAGGGATCTCCATCCACAGAGATTTCCAAAGCCTGACTGGACAGGGTCCTGGGCAGCCTGACTGAGGGTGGGAGGTGGCCCAGTTTTGAGCAGAGGGCTGGAATGGAGAGTGGAGGCTTTTCCCACCTGAATTATTCTATACTTTGAGGTAATTTGGATTATATGATCTGTAGTCTCATATCATTGAATGATTTACCATCTATCTTAGGGCTTTCCCTAAACCAGTTGTCAGTGGCAGAGCTCATCCACCGAAGCATCTGCGTCCTTAGCCCGATCAGCATGTTGGGTCCTATTGAACCAACTGCCTTAGCGATGCTGCCAAGGCGGACAAGCCAACGCTCCCCTGCCTTTCCCCTCACCATCCAGGGGTTGGTTACGTTACCTCTTGTGTGCCCCCTCCAGTCTGAACCCTGCCCGCTCCTTTGAATCTGTTCCTGGCTCTTCCAGCCTGACGTTGCTCAATAGCATTACTGAGAAATGATCCTGCCCCTCGTGCCTCCTCCCCGTCCCTCTTTGGGACTGGAATGTTCTCTGGTTTTCCCGAATCGCAGTGCCCATGTCTCCAAATACCTGGATAGACCTGAAAGGTCACATTTGCCACTGCTTGGCCTGACCCAAGCAGTCCTGTGAGTACCTCATCCAGAGCTGGAGCACTTCTCTTCTTGACCCTTCCAGGCACGAGCAGCACTTCTGTCCATAGACCATGGCCCAATTCTCAGGCTGGCAGCGGTCTCCTTCATCTCTGGCTTCTCATCTGGGACCTGTTCTTATCTCTTGGACCTTCCTTCTCAGCTTCTTCCTGCAGGATGGCCGTACCGCCACTTGCTTGACCTTTGGGTCTTGTTCTTTCAACCCCAGCAGTGCTTGAACTTTGCTGCTGAAATTGCAGCTGAACCTCAGCAGAGCCAGGGCCACCTGCAGCTTCTTCGAGTGTGGCTCAAGCACAGGGAGAGCCATGAGTTGCTAGGTGAGTCATGGGCTGCGCGAAGCCTCTGTGGTGGGGTCTGCGGTCTTTGGCTGGTGGACACCAGTTCACCGTGGAAGAGATTTCCTGTCTGATGGTCCAGCAGTGGCTTGCATTGCTCACGAAGAGGAATCACAGCGTTAGTCACAACCAGCTCACTTGTAATTCAGCCTTTTAGGCTTTGCCTACGCGTTACCCCTCACAAATCCCAAAGTTATGGTAGATCCCTAACTTTTATCTTCTCCCCAGGTGCAATATTGCATCACCTCCGATCATAAATGCAGCCTTCATGGGTGTTGGACCAACTTTTGCAGTTGTTCTGCCTACTCTGGAGCTCTGAGCTGTTACCGGGTACATGGTGGAGCTTTGGTGAACCACCTGGGTACCATCCATCACTCCAGGGGATGGTGCACAAGGTGCTCTGGCAGGTTTTAGCCAAACAACTCCTCCTGGCTTTCGATCCCTGTCCCTAAATATAGCTCGCCCTACCAAAACCCTGTCCCTGCCTTCACTTTGGGTGCACTGCCTGCCAAAAACTCTGCCTCCTGTCTCCCTGATGGCGGTTGGTCACTGGGCACCACATCCGCATGGCTCTGCGTGGCCGTCCCTTCCTCAGCAGGCTCAGGCTGTTTGCATTTTACCTTCTGAATCACCCCCTGAGTTTCTGTACAAGCTCCTGTGCATCCAGGCTGCATCTCGGAGCTTTTCTAAGAGCTGTGACCCATCTCGCTGCACGGACAGGCTGGCAGGGTCTGCACCTTTTCCTCCTTCTCTTTCTGCTTGTTTTGCCAAAAATGATGTACCTTCTGAATCACCCCCTGAGTTTCTGTACAAGCTCCTGTGCATCCAGGCTGCATCTCGGAGCTTTTCTAAGAGCTGTGACCCATCTCGCTGCACGGACAGGCTGGCAGGGTCTGCACCTTTTCCTCCTTCTCTTTCTGCTTGTTTTGCCAAAAACGAAGGGGAAAATGGGGTTAATTCGGCGGGGGCATGGCTAGAGTGGGTGGTGAATGGGTCTGAAAGGTTGGAGGTCAGCACCAGTCAGTGGCAAAGAGTGGAGAACCGAGGCTGGAGGTGCAGGCTGGAAATACAGCTGGGAGAGAGGAGGGAAGGGGTCTTGATCCATCCTGCCCCCATTCCAGGTTTCGTGTCACACACATTGGGAAGAAACCCACTTTCCACGAGCAGCAGGACGGTCCCCTGCCCGACGGCAGCCGGGAGCCGAGCACGGAGGAGCTGGAGCACAGCAGCGACCGGCTCCAGCGGGAGCGGGCTCGCAATGGGACTGTCCCGGCGGGTGGCCTGCAGAATGGAGCCGTCCAGAAGGGCGCCCAGAGCAGCAAGGCTGGGGAGCAGAGCCGCTCCACCACCCCAGCCCTGAACACACCTCCCAGCTCCAGCACTCGCGGCAGCAGGCGGGCAGGCAAGGGGTCCGGCACGGCCAGCTCGCTGCAGGATGCTGGCACCGCTCCCGGGAGCGCCAGCCGTCAGAGGAAGCTCCTGAGCCACCGGGTGCTGGGAGGGTCAAGTCCCAGCATCCCGGGAGAGCTGGTGCAGGAAGGAGCCAGCATCTGCCTGGAGGAGACCGGACTGGGGTCAGCAGATGAAGTGTCAGATATTCACGGGAGCCTGAGTCTGCACGAACAGGCTGATGAGTTGGGAAGAGATGACAGCAGCAGAAAACAGCCTGGAGTGGAGGACGTGAGGCACCAGGTAGGTTCCTCCTCTTCCTTGTCCCCATGTGGTCCCCAGGGCTGGAGGCTTTGAAGGGTTGTGGCACAGCACCCCACGTCCTGCTGCCGACCAGATCAACCAGCCCGAGAGCGGTGGAGTGAGCTGTGCAGTGGGGACAGGCGAGCCAAGGCTTGCACCGGGCTGACTGCGGTGTGGGACCTGCCCCGTCCTGCCCACCCTGCTTCTCCTTACCTTTTTTGGTTGCATTTTCCCATCCCTTTTCTAATGTCTGGGGCAGGCAGAGCCACCGTGACAGTTCCCACCCTGCTAGTGCAGGGGAACAGGCAGGTCACTGCTTGACTTGCATGGGGGATGCTGCAGACCCGCTGCCAGCTGCCCCTCGGGTGAGGAACTCGTTTTCCTTTGTGGTTGGGCTCTTTGGCGACATCCATTGGGATCATTTTTTCCTGACCTGGGGGAGCTCTGCCGCTGCACGTAGGCTTGGTTTCTCCAAAACTGTAGCCTCACGGCAGTCCTAAGGCTCAACGTGACCAGCAACGTGCAATGTCTCCAGGAGCCTTTCTCGCCTTCGAGCCTAGGAAATGGTGAAGCCAACCGGTCATTCCTGGGTTGTTCTTCCCTGCTCCAGAGGGGCTGGTGCTGGCTGTGCTCAGAGAGGAGCTGGAGCTCCTGGCACCCCGGTATCTCCCAACCTTCCCACCCACCACCTTGCTGGAGGTGCTAGAGGCACTGGCGAGGACACCATTTGCTTGGCCATCGACGGCCCCCAATCTGGGGAATTTGCTCCCTGCCACTGCCTCCGAGCTGTTACCACTGAGCAAACGATGTTGTTGGTAACACATTGGCTTATTCACGTGCTCACCAGTGGTTCTGTGGTTGGGGCAAGACGATTTTCATGGCAGGGAGCTGGGGGAAGGCACCTGGTGCGATGCCACCTCACTGGGATGTCGAGCAGCCCCAAGAGCTGGCCTCGGCTCGCCCCACAAAACCACCACCGGGGCGCACGGGGCAAAGCCCTTGGAAGAAAAAAGGAAGCAAAGCATCTGGGTAAAAATCCCAGTGTGCTTCAAAGCCAGGGACATTCCCTGGGGTTGGCTCTGCTGGAGCTCCACCGGCTGGGTGCCTCCACTGGCTCGTGCCAGCAGCCCTTAGTGAGCGGTGGGATGGAGCAGGGCTGGTCGGCGTGGGAGAGCCCCGGGAAAGGGGCCTAGCTGAACGTGGGTGAAGTAAAAGCAGGCACCCGCTGTGTTTCTTCTTTCCCCCTTTGCTTTCTGGTGGCCAGGCGGGAAGGTTTGAGCTGTTTCATGGAGAAGGGCAGCCCGAGGCAGCCACGTGGGACAGAGCTGTAGCCCTTCTCCCGGAGAGGTGGCGACAGGTCCCCCTTCCTCCCATCGCTCACTACACCCTGGGCGATGTCTGCGGTCCCTCTGGCCACAGGGGAAGCAGTCACGTGCAGGGCAAGCCCAGGGACAGGGTGATTTTTCTCCTTCTCCATCCATTCCCTCCACGGCACCAGGCTCTCGCCTCAGACCCCACACCAGGCTTCGGCATGCTCCACAACATGGGATCCCAGGGATGGGAGACCTCACTGGGACGTTTGTCACCAAGCCCTGGCACCGCTCAGACACTCCCTCAGCCCCTAGGTGCCAGCCAGGGCCACCACGAGGGTGGTTGGCTGCTGCTCAGCGTGTCCTGTGGGTGATGGGGAAAGGCAGAGAGATGGTGCTCGGGCTGTAGCAGCTCCCAGAGCCTCAGGGGGGTTCTGCCCGCCGGCCC